AATAAAGTTAATAAAACAGATATTTAAAATTATTTTTTAATTAATAAATATATTATTAAAATCAATATTTAAAATTTCTATCTAATTGTAAAAAATATTAAATAAGTTAGCAGGCAAATTTGCCTGCTCTACAGATTAAGGGATAAGTTTTTTTTTAGAAAAATTGGTCACAACACAAAATTTGGCTATGAAGTCATCTTTTATGTTCTAGCAAAAAACAAGTCACTTCTTATCAAAAATCATATATTTTTTAAAAAATCTATAAAACCTTAAGTTTTAAATATTTTTAAAAAAAATAACTGATAAAAAATATTGGTTTTCATTAATTCTATCTGAATTATCAGTTAGAATTTTTTTAAAAAAATTTAAGATCTAAAATTATAAGTGTTTGAAGTTACAATGTTTTCAAAATTTTGGTATTTAATGCAAAAAATTAAAAAAAATTTTTGATATTTTTTTTATTCAATCAGAATTAGTATATAAAGTATTCTGATTGGCTAAAAAGTATTTGTATATACCGTATTTCATTGCATAAACCAGTTACATTTCACCAGAATATCCAATTAGTAAAACAATTACGTGGGGTCTACTATCATAAGGTGGTTTATGCAATGAAATACAGTACCTCAAATTTGGCGTATTTGATGCGAAGTGACTTAGAGCACCATAGAAGTTTTCATTTTTATAAAAAAAATTGGGCTGATAATAATATTACACCTAATCTTAGTTACAATTATAAGGAGCTTATGGCTACAATATATTAATTTTTTAAAAAAACTCGGTTACTAAACCATATTTTTTTTTACAGATTTCAAAAATTGATCCCGGTCGGGTTATGAAAACCAATTAAGGAACAATAGGACTAATTCCTGTCGTTATTGCAGATTTTACTTATCGGAGAGAATTAGTAGAGTCAAACAATATTAAACTCTGAGTTTTTTCCAAGTCTAAGTCTGCTTTATTGTAGAACGAAAATGTATCGCTTTTATGACTTCTACATACATCAAATTTAATTCACTTAATTCAATAAGTTTACTAAATTCACTTAGTTCAGATAAACCAATCAATCAAATAAATAAACTTTGATAAGTCTAACTAGTCAGACTTTCGTGACTTCAATGACTTTCGTGATTTGGTGATTTTCTTGATCTTACTATCTTTGGTTAGGGTCGATCTGAGCCTCAGCATCGATTTGCCTATACGTTATTGTGTCTGATCCCTCATCTAAAGAAAAATACATTTCAAGCCATAATTTACCTTTTCACAACGTACGTAGTTACCATGAGATAACCGATCTTAAGATTATAAAATGAAATTTATTACTGTTACAAGTCGAATTTAATAGTATAATCGATTCAGATAGATTAATCAAGCGGTATAAAAATCGTTCAATTTTGATTTCGATTGCTAGGTCACGAAATATCTTTATTCTAAATACATGTCCAAGCTGAAAGTTTGGTGTAGAATCTGTCGCTGCAGATAATTTTAGTAGATACTTCATATAGTTGGTAAAATATGGGGGTTTTTTTACCAAGTATTAAGATTTAGGACTTTACTACTTGAGCAGTCGGATTCGAATTAGTTTTATACCATTCGATTTATCTCAACAAGATGAACGTAAAAAATCTAGGGAATGGACCCGCGTAGAAAATCATTATCATACGAATATCCGAACATGTGCGTTCTTTCACAGCAAACCATGTAAGAGTATTATTACGGCGCATTTGTGGAATTAGGGAAATTAAGCAGATATAGTGGAAAGATGGGTTAGACATCATATTCGGGGTGCAGTAGTATATCATAATTTAAATCAGAACATATTTCACAATTATCATAACTCTCTAGCTAGATACTCTAAGCATATATAATAATAATAACCGGTGAAGATCGTTCCACCCTGATAGATAACAAGATGCTAGTCCATAATACATTCCTTATGCCATGATACATACATCTACATGTATTGTGAGGGACCAACATGAAGTTTAGTATTTTTAATGATTACCAATCATCAGCGGACTTTAAATACCAATTGACCTAACCTCACCTTGGTTCCTCACATTTATTAATATATATTTCATATAATTTCTTGTTATGCAAAAACACGTGTAAAAGCCTATAAAATTTGATGTTATGCAGAATTTGTGAACATGAAGGTAACTAGGGATATTAATTTGCTGGGTTCGACTCTATTCGTTAATCTGGTTATAATAATGAATGTACAAGCGGGTTAGTATACTTGCCACCCCGATCCCAACTATTATAGTTTGAGTCTGTTCACACCAAATTCCAAACTTTGGCAAACTGATATCTCAGAGACTTTATCAATAATCTTATCGTTATCTATATCTTTTTTTCCCCTTAAAACCAGCCTATTTTTTTTTTTTTACCAAAATTTTATATTACGTAAGAGAGGTTCCGAGAAATGTTTCATGATTTCCGATCACAGGATCACAAGACAAACCAGTTAAAGTTACCCCTTATAATATATACTATTGCAAAAAAAAATAAATAAATACCTGGATTGATTTCTCCTCGATTTACTGTTATATAAGGTGTTTAATAAAGGTGAGTTCTTGAACGGGAAAGAAGTCGCCCTCACATTTACGTATTTCCTTTTTTCATACATAGATAATTATAAAGTACCCACACACATGTGATTCCCGGCTAGTTGCCTGGACCTAGGGATGTAAGTTGGGTGTGACATTATGAAATAATGAGTCTACTCAAAATGTACTTTCTTATCATTTCTAAATTAGCACGTAGCAAAAAATCATCATATTTTTAAGGAACTCAATTATTTGATCGGTCTAATTCACTTTTTAGGTACGTATGTTCGTATCATAACAAACAAGTCATATTAGATTTAAGCTTTGCATTGATAATTTTTACGCCATTTCATCAAAGCTTATTAAACCCTTATGGTTTATTTAATGATTCAGATAAGATAAAGGATTTGTTCGCACAAATAATTGCAACCTCTGAAACAAAGTCTTATTTTCTTTTTCAAGGGTTTAACCTTCTTATAGAAAATTTGTTTAATTCAGAGATCCTACCCAAAATATGTTCAAGTTCTATCTCATTTATACGTTTATCATGACGCTCTTTTCGTTTTCGGTATTCGCGTATCAATTGGTTTTATCGAATAAAAATATATCACTACCAGGTACTTGACGACTTTATCAAGCTTAGTTAATAACCAACCATTTCAACTACGGATGATGGTAAATTTGTCCTTCTTAATATGTAGGAGATGTCAATAATCCATGCATTAAGTGTCCGCACCCACCAACAGAATGCGATTTACCATGTGACCGTATTAAGAAAAGAAAATCTGTTTGTATTATAACTCAACAAACTTGTACTAAATGTCCAAAGAAAACTTGTAAACCCGCCGATGGTCCAGGCAGGTTTTTTTAGATCTGTATTTTTTCCTAAATAACCGTGTTGTGTTTTTTATATTTTATTACATGTTTTGGGTTATTTCTTAATTAGTTTGCATAAATTGCTTCACGTATCCAATATGTTCGCCATGTGCAAAAGATGAACAATGTTGGATTGATAAGCCGAATTGTTATAATTGTGGGTCATCTCATTGTATTAAGCCTCCTTTAAGTAAGTTATTTAATATTAGACATCTCTTTGTTTTCTATCCAATATAAAATAATTTATAGTCAATAAAATTAAAATCACCTATTAATTATTTTCCTTTTTTAAACAAAAGAATGCATTACTTGTCCATCAGAAACTCCGGAACCTTCAAAATGCCCAAAAAATTATAAACGTTTAAAAATTCCTCGATCATGCTTTGTTTGTGCTCAGGTTGTTTGTCTACCTGAACACTATCATCTGCCTGATAAACCTCATTCATTTTAAAATGCCCTATAAAGTGTTCTATAAAGTTTTTATTTGAATTAAATAAAGGTTTGAATTTGAATGACTTGGTTTAATTTTTTGCACCTGTAGACCATAGAAGAATTTTAGGCCAAAACCTTTATAAAGATGTGCTTATTTTTATTGAATAATGTATATGTCTATTATAATTGAGTACTATAATCTAATTTTTTACGAACATTTTGCTAAAAATTAATAATCGAGTACTGTAATCTAAATTTCTACGAAATTTTGTTAAAAATTATTTTAATTTATGAACAGTAAAGAATTTTTTTCTCTTATTGTTTGTTGGAACTAAATAACCGTTCCCATTATTAATCGTGTTATATGATATTCGAATTGTTAGAATTTTTTGTTACAATTGATCATTTTAAGAGTATGTACGTACGTACTGTACGCGGATTGTAAATGACATTACAAAATACGTAAATTCTAGTTTCCACATGATCATTTGTTACAAACATACACTTTATTTATCTACCGAACGCTAAACTTTATTTGCCTCTTTAAAATTATCATGATGGCTGAAAGATGTGAATATAGTGAATTGCTTGACGATGCTATCAAAAATAATCAAATTATTCAGTATGATTATAATACATTTAATGAAATAACACATATTGGGCGAGGGTCATCCGGATTTGTTTTTAGTGCAAAATCCCCTGAATTTGAAACCCGAGTGGCCTTAAAATCCATTAAAATCGATCCTTCTTATACGATAGAATTACTAATTAACGAGGTTTGTAAAAATTGTTATATATCTGATGGAAAGAGTATAACTCAAACACTAATGATTTTTTGATTAAACAGCTCAAACAACATATTCATATTGGTTCACATAATAATATTTTAGAATTCTACGGAATATCTAAAAATGGTAATAAAACTTAAACATAATCTTAATTTAATATATTTTACATTGTTAATATTTTTAATATATTTTTTAGAACCAAACGAATTTATACTTGTTCTTGAATATGCGGCTAATGGTACTCTTAAAACGTATTTATGCGTAAACTTTTATGTATTAAACTGGAATGATAAACTTCACATTGCAAAACAATTAGCTGAAGGCATAAAGTTTTTGCACTCGCATGATATAATTCATAGAGATTTGGTAGTTTGATAATTTACATTTAATTTTATGTTTATGTTATTTATTTATTGATTTTTTTTAAAATTTTATTTCTTCTTTTTAGCATTCCGAAAATGTACTTATTCATAATAAAATTGTAAAGCTCTGTGATTTTGGAAATTCAAAATTTACTGCGGATCCATCAATTCAATTAACAAAGGCAATTGGAGCACTACGTTATTCGGATCCTAAATTTCTTGACATCCCAAATTATAGTCGAACTAAGAAATCAGATATTTACAGCTTAGGCGTACTCTTATGGCAGATATCGAGTGGTAGAGAGCCATTTGAATCTAAACCCTTACTCAGCTTAATTTCAGGTATTATCTCAGGATTAAGAGAAAAACCAGTTTATGGAACACCAAAAGATTACGTAGTCATTTATGAAGGTATGTAATGACTTGTATCGATGTGCTATTTCCTTTAATTATAAAAAAAAATAATATGAATTTATACTTATTAGAATGTTGGACTTCGATACCTGATCAACGACCAACTATTGAAGAGACTGTATCTAATCTTGAAAATATTAATGTAGATAATGTGATATCAGTCGATGAAATCGAACTTGAAGATAATAGAGATAATAACGAACCAGCTACAATTAGCATTATTCAAAAATTAATCAGTAAAGTTAATGATGGTTCTGAGGCTTATCACAATTTAAATGATGCTTTAAGCTCTGTATCGAAAGCGCCAAGTGCTGAACCTTCAAATTCAACATCAAAGGTTAAAGCGTTAAATTCTATTATAAAGATTGATCCAAAAATATTCGAATATATAGATAACAATATCGATGATTCAAATAAGCAATTTTTACGACAATTAATGCAGCTTTTTGTAAATTATAGCAATATTTCTGAAGAACCTAAATTTCTTATTATTCAAATTACAAATTTAATCAAAAATTATAATGAAAATTCAGATAAAGTATTTAAAATATTGTTAAAATATCAAGGACAACCAGCATTTGCATATTCAATTGGCTTTTTCTATGAGCATGGAATTGGTGTTAAAATAAATCAACGAAAAGCTCAGAAAATGTATAAACAAGCTAAAGAATATGAAAATAATATTCAAAATCAGTCAAATAAATTAAAGCCAATATATAGGATTACAAAGTCCATGGAGACGTTTGTATATAACATATTTGGTCAGATTTATATATACGGAATTGGAACAACTAAAAATGATGAAAAGGCATTCCAATGGTATATGAAATCTGCAGAAAGTGGGAATCACCATGCGCAAAATATCGTTGGATCTTGTTATCAAAATGGAATTGGTGTCATCAAAGATGAAAAAAAAGCATTACTTTGGTATACGAAATCTGCTGAAGGTGGAAATCCTGAGGCACAAAATAACCTTGGATATTGTTATCAATGTGGAATTGGAACCACAAAAGATGAAAAAATGGCATTCCAATTATATATGAAATTTGCAGAAAGTGGGAATCACCATGCGCAAAACATCGTTGGATCTTGTTATCAAAATGGAATTGGTGTCATCAAAGATGAAGAAAAAGCATTACAATGGTATATGATATCTGCTGAAGGTGGAAATCCTAAGGCACAAAATAACCTTGGATATTGTTATCAACGTGGAATTGGAACCACAAAAGATGAAGAAAAGGCATTTCAATTATATATGAAATCTGCAGAAAGTGGGAATCACCATGCGCAAAATGTCGTTGGATCTTGTTATCAAAATGGAATTGGTGTCATCAAAGATAAAAAAAAAGCATTCCGATGGTATATGGTATCTGCTGAAGGTGGAAATCCTGAGGCACAAAAGAATCTTGGATATTGTTATCAACGTGGAATTGGAACCGCAAAAGATGAAGAAAAGGCATTCCAATTATATATTATATCTGCAGAAAATGGAAATCATTTTGCACAAAACAGCGTTGGATATTGTTATCAAAATGGAATTGGAACTGCTAAATGTGGAGAAAAGGCATTCCGGTGGTATATGAAATCTGCTGAAAATGGAAATCATAGTGCACAAAATAACCTCGGATATTGTTATGAAAATGGAATTGGCATTATCAAAGATGAAGGAAAGGCATTCCAATGGTACAAAAAATCTGCGGAAAATGGAAACTCCCGTGGTCAAAATGGTCTTGGATATTGTTACCAAAATGGAATTGGAACTGTAATAAATGAGGAAGAAGCATTTCAATGGTATAAGAAGTCGGCAGAACACGGACATTCCTACGCGCAAAACAATCTGGGATGCTGTTATAAATATGGAATTGGAACTGTAATAAATGAGGAAGAAGCATTCCAATGGTATAAGAGGTCGGCAGAACAGGGAAATCTTGATGGACAAAATAATCTTAAAAATTGTTATGAAAATGGAATTGGTACTATAAAAAATAATCAAGAAGCATTACGGTGGAATATGCAGGCTGCTGAAAAAGAAAAGGTGGAATTATTTAATTGGTACATGAATTCTGCTAAAAACGGAGATCCTAAAGGACAAAATGAACTTGGATATTGTTATCTGCACGGAATTGGAACTACTAAAAATGAACAAGAAGCATTTTATTGGTATAAAAAATCTGCAGACGGAGGCGATTCAGACGGACAGAATAATCTTGGGTACTGTTATGAAAATGGAATCGGTACAATCAAAGACGAGCAAAAAGCATTTTTTTGGTATATGAAGTCTGCTGAAAGTGGAAATTCTAGTGGACTACTTAATCTTGCTAATTGTTATGAAAATGGAATAGGTATAACAAGGGATGAAGATAAAGCTTCTCAATTATATGTTAAAATTACTATTCCTTAAGGGTAGGGGGCACGTAGATCATTTTTATATAGTTATGTATGGTATATTAAAATTTTCATCTAAAATTGATATA